CGGTGGTGTTCACAAAGTTTTATTTTCTGTCAATTTGTAATAATGTCCGAAATATGGAACCTCAACTTTGCATTCCATTCGTAGATAGAACCACAGCTTTCTCGAGAACTGGCGGGTACGCCAAAAAAGCTCGCAGAACCGTTTCCGCTCATATTAGGGACTTTTATCAAACAGTTAGCGTGTTCCGCGTACCGCACTACCGGAGCCGTTGAAGCATGCCATTAAGCGCGCGCTTCAAAGGCTACGGTAGCGCGGTACAACACGGTAACGGTTTGCTAAAAGTCCCTATGCTGTCCGCGAGGTCGAGCAGTACTTCCAACTTACAATAGTCTTAATCAATTCTGAGATTATGTTTACAGATACGCCCCTCTGTTTATCAATGTAAAGAAAATAACGCTTTCCTTTTTCTATTACGTAGGTGTATTTTGGTACCTATATCATGCTTTGCAACTTTGTTACCACCTACTGCTTCGCTTGTGACATTTATTTAAAACAAAAAGAAGATCGTTCTCAGAAATTTGGCGTCCCGTCCTGTCGCAGATTACTTTTTGTGTGATTAATATTTTTCTCATTACCTTTGTTGTTGGAATAACCTTCCCCGTGCCACTGCTAAAATCCTGGGTCATGCAAAACCTCGGACTACCGTGACGAACCTTTCTTTGTAAAGAGCCCTAACAATTGTTGTTTTTTTTTGTTTTTTTCTTTTTTTAGCCGTATACTTTTTTGCAGTTTTGCTTTCATGTAACCCTGTCCCCTCTACAATGCTTCTGGTCGCGAGCATAGCAAAAAGTAGATAAATGATGCACTGCAAGCACCCTCGTGGGAATACGCAAGGATACAAAGCTCAGAAGCCTGGCCAAAACAAAAATGCTGCGGAGCTTCGTGGATTTTTCTCGCGCCTCATCACACTCGTAAAACGCTACACTCGAAGACATAGAGAACTTCTACTTCGAAGCAAAGCAGTTGGGAAGGCCGACCGCTGCAACCAATGGAAGGCAACTCAACGAACAACGAGGCTGAACATGTGTTTAGACCTAAACAATTCCGTATGTTCTGTGACGCTGGGCATGGTGAAACACCGTGCCTAATGTCACAACGCAATCTGTATTTGTTTCTAGGTCAAAATATGTTTTAAACACCGTCATTCACCAAGCACACTCTGTAGACTGCAGCAATCGGCTCTACCGAGCGCATTACGGTTCTCGGGGGAAATAAAAACACTACGATTCTTTTTCAAAAAAACAAAAAACAAAAGCGGTGCTCACCTGTACAAAAGTATTCCTGCTTCGAAAGCCCGTTCGCCGATCTTTCGCATCCCCCACTTTGGGCGCCAAACTCGCACCCCGTCCGTCACCACTTCCCAAAACAATGGCGACGGCTCTTCTCCCCGTCTGGCCAGTGGGCTGCAAAGCCCGGGACTGAAGCCTCGAGGTGCAGCGGCTCGCGGTCTGAGTCGGAGCTGACGACGTCTGCGAGATGCGGATCCCGGAGAGCCATCGATCCGCTTTCCAGCGGAGCCCGGGGAGAGAGTTTTCGGTGCACCGCTGCTCCATCGATCGCTGGCGCCCAGGATGACGGGAAAGGGAAGGCAGCAGCACGTGCAGCAGTCTGGTGTCATGCCGTTGGATCCCCGCACGCCGTAAGGACTGGTTCACGCATTTGCGTTTCAGTGTGGCCGAGTGCACGTTGCAATCGCTTCTCAACGCTTACCACGAGAGGGCGTACTGGCGCCATCTATCGCCTAGTCCTGGAACCATTCCGATCTGTGTGTATATATTGCGCGTCATTTTGTATCATGCCCAAATATACCTAGTCACCAGGGTAGAGGATAAAAAGGAAGACGATTTAAATTGTGATTTAAACCGGACCAGTTTTACGACGATTTAAATCAAACCTTTCCGAAAACATAATCCAGAAGAAATTTTCTTACTTGCCATGTGTCTATGCATTTGATGTTTTCTACGTGCTTTGGTTTTGTATTTAAATTAAAAAAATCATAGAGCAGCGGAAAAATATACAAAGCTAAACACGAGCAAAAACAAATGGAGAGTTTTTGGCAAATCGAAGCGTTGAGCTTTATCTCCTACCTTTGCATTCTAAAACAAATGCAGCTTGATCTCCTACTATTGCAAGCAAATCAAAACGCGATATAAAAAAACAAATAAGGCTTTTGAACTAACTAGTATAGCAAGCTGTCTTTGTTCTAATGCGACTGGGTTTTACACCGATAAAAAAAAGTTAGTAATTAAACAAAATTTTCTTCAGCATCGTTTTCACTGATCGGACGGATTTATCAATCAATCTGTCTTGTTTAAAATACAGATCTAGTGATAAAGAATCACTATTTCAGAAATACAGTGATTTAAATCACACTGGCACGCTGGCGTCATCCATCAGGTGCTGCATGGATCTTTTCCTATTAGCGTACTTCTAGACTGAATGTTTTCACAGTGCTCGCAAGATCAAATCTACGCAGTGTTCATCAGAAATGCTCACCTTTAAGTTATAAGTTAACGTTGTAAGAAGTATATGAAGCACACGGTGGAAGAATAATGCGTCAAATATACGCGGATTGGAAGAATTCCAGGGCTGCCCGTTAAACAGTGTGTTCTCCGCTTACAAGCAGTTCCAAAGCAGACGATCACACTCGAACGGAAATGAGTGAATTAGCCTTAGTCTGGTATCTAATAATGCATATGTACACTCAAGTAAAATATTGCAGGAAAAAAAAATGTTACTTTTGGTGTACGATTAAGCGGCGTTATTGTTGGACTTGCAAAACCTTCCCTAGTTTTGGGGGGAAAACAAGCAGCGACATCCATATAGTGTTTATAATGTACGCTAGGAGTTCAGCTGGCGCTAGTGCCTATGGAACTTCCGGTTTAAAATTGAAGCAGACAGCAACCAGTTCACTTCTGCGTCGCTCCTGTACATTCCTATGGGTGCAGGCATGTAATTTGTTCCTTCACCAGAGAAAAACAGGAATCAGCTTTGTCACTTGGGACGTAGCGAATAGTAGGTAACTGTATCGTGAAACGATTTTTGAAGTGTATTTGGTTTTTCTGTATTTAAATACATTTTGGGTGTATTCCTGATGTCTCCATACTTTCGGGGCCGAAATACATATTTACAATCTATTTTTGCCTTCCATACAAAAATTAAAGCTACTATTTTTCGTGTCAAATTTGTGTTAAGAGAGGGAAGGTGGTTTGAAAAAGTACACTGAGGTTCTGTTATTGTGCTGATCCACTTCTATTCTGCTATACTATACTGATCCACTTCTATTCTGCTATACTATACTGATCCACTTCTATTCTGCTATACTATACTGATCCACTTCTATTCTGCAATGATAACAGATGTTGCCTTTGACTACAGTGTCGACTCTTCTTGAAGGTTCCGAAAATTGTCGGTGCTACCCAACCGTCACACCAACATACAAGAGAAAACTGTTTCGTTCCACCATGGCGTCATAAGATCTCAATGAAAGGAGTGCACAGGTTGAACAAGAGTATGGTGACATCTATAGGTTATTTGCGAGCACAAAATATGAATTTAGAGTTCCCTGTGACTTTTTACTCGGAAAGATGAAAAATACCGAAAATAAATTCCGCTCCAAGTTGGGTTGGAAGTGTTTTTACACTTCTAACCAATTTTTTTTTTTACGCACATTAAAATACTGCTGATCACTTCCATTACTGTTAAGCAAAATGACAAATGTTCCTTTTGAGAAAATTTATTTTTCACAGCAAGAACGTCAATGTCGAAACTCAGTCTGTATCTTCCAGTGAACAATTTGGCGATATGAAAAAAAGGTTTCATATAATTGTTTAGAACATTGTGGAACATATATGCGTCTTTTTTTGTTTTTCTTGCACATTAGCGAGCGCAAGCAGCCAGTTTTACGAGGAATAATATATCAAAAATAGTAATAAAAAAATCTTCCTGAATCCGTATTTCAATCACAGCAAAATGTATTCCTGTATTTGTATTTCCTAATATCTTTTTTATACTCAAATGTATTCCAGATACATATCGCGATACATTTTTATAAATGTATTTCAGTATCAGCACTTTAGCTGTTGTTGTCGTGTATCCCAGTATTTGTATTTCCAAATACATTTTAGGGTATATTCCTGCCCAACCTTTATATTTCGTAATTTGTCTAAGCTCTGATATGTTTTTTGTATGTATGTGACAATACTGCGCACAATTTACGTATTATACACACACTCTTGTAAGAATACTGATGATAGGCTAGTATTTTCTCCCTTAGCTTCATTCCTGCGTGTCCGAACGACCACACTGCATTCCCTCCTGTTCCCCACAATTTTACTGAGACCCAACAGGTTCGCATACTTTCTTTCCGCTGCTTTAAAGGTTTATGCTGCAACTGCGTGCCTTCTGTTTTTGCTCCGACGGGCACTCGCGTTAGGACAGCCCTTTTTAATGCCACATCCTTTCCTCAACGCCGCATAAAAATCTTGCTGCGCGTGCTCAACAAAAAATCTCGAGAAAAAACATCTTTAGTTCGACGGCCTACATTGGCCACATGGTTCAACTTTTTCGAGGCACTGCAAAAGTAAAATCTGTAGATAGCTCATGTGTAAGCCGGGGCGCCCAAGTATTCTCAGTCGACCGTGATGACCGCCCTTTGGCAACCGGCATGCTGCAACGTTCAGAGTGACCATCCCTCGACAAGCGCGAGGGAGAGGACACAGCTCTTCATTCTTTCAGAATTCTCTCCACTTCTGTAACGCTCTCACCAGAACCGCTTTTCTCCCTCGCTACCACCTTGCTCAATGCAAAGGAGAAAACGTTTTCTCTCTTGCGTTTTTTTTTTTCCGCAATGGGCGGTTGACTTCCCTCTTTCCCACCTTGGCACCGATATAACAGATGCCACTCAAGCCGACTCCAAACAGAAAGCGACGAACCGCGCGCGCTCTATTTGTTATCCTTCTGATTTCTCAGTGACCGCGAGTGCTCCAAAAAGCATCAATATGAAGCCCGTGTCACAGTCCTCTTCGCCCCGAATCCAGATGTCTTCCGAAGGCGGCAAGTTTATTGAGTTCGATTTCGTGCGTTCTGGACGTTACGGCTCACCGGACGTGCACCTCAAGTGCCGGATAACGGCAACCACTCGTCCATCGAAGCAGCAGTTGCAGGTGCCGAGGTCCAAGAGTCATCTGGAGCGTGGTGGTGACCGCCACCAGGACGATTCTTCAATCTCCGCGCTGAGGCCCCTGACACGACTTGTTCGTTTCGTACCGGAGTTAGCCAACAGACTTCGGTTGTTGTATCAGCTGGTCGTCTGCGTTCCTCGGAGGCTGGCGGAGATACAGCAGGATGCTCCCAAGGACGAGCCTCTTCTCGCAGATCTTCCCGATCAAGCACCCGTTGAGGAACGAGTTCTGGAGTGGGCCGAAGGACTTCTCCGCAACGGCATCCCCAAGATCGAGGTGTCTCCGGTTGCGGCTCAGGATGGCTTTGAGGCTGACGACGAGAATGATGGAGACGACTACGACGAAGACGAGGACAAGAGCTCGGGCTTCTTTAGTGACGAGCTGAGCGAAACCGACAACGAGTCGACCTGGACGAGCGACAAGCAGGTTCAATGCAGCCTCGGGCGGTACACGCTGACACAGGTCCAGGAACGCAAGCCCCGACTGGTGTCACATCGTGATCTGCCTGCATGGCTGCAGAACAACGAGTACCTCGAGGGGCATCATAGGCCACCGTTGAAATCGTGGCGGGCCTGCATTCGCTCGGTGTTCAGCCTCCACACCGAGAGCGGTAATATCTGGACACACCTGCTCGGTGCCCTGGGCTTCCTCGCACTCGGAGTTCATTTCTTCAGGTCAGATGCCCTTGCCCTTGACTGGTCGGGTTCGCTGGCCTTTGGCGTGTACTTTGCGGGCGCCGCACTCTGTCTGACTCTGTCCACCATGTACCATACCTTCAGCTGCCATTCGGCGCGCGTGTGCCAGCTCTTCTGCAAGATGGACTACTGCGGCATCACGATCCTTATTCTGGGGTCCTTTTACCCCTGGCTCCACTTTCAGTTTCTGTGCGAACCCCTCAAGAGACTCGTCTACGGGCTCCTGGTTACTTCATCGGGACTGCTGACACTCAGGGTGTCCATGTCGCAGAAGTTCGGCGAAGCAAGGTACCGCGGTCTGCGCGCTGGCATCTTTTTCAGCTTTGCACTCGTGTGCGGAATCCTGCCGTCAACTCACTACGGCCTGGAGCACGGCTGGGACGACTTGATGTACAAGAGCTCGTTCGTTTACATGCTGCTCATGGTTGCTATCTACGTGACCGGGTGCTGTGTCTACGCCACCAGAGTCCCGGAGAGGTTCTTCCCTGGTCGTTGCGACCTAGCCTTCCAAAGTCATCAAATATTTCACATACTGGTGCTGCTCGGAGCCCTTGCCCATTACTACGGACTTTGGAGGTTGGCGTCTCTGAGGGTCTCCGAAGGAACCTGCCCCGTCGGGCAGACGAACTCTCTTCTATTTGCCCTGGGAGCTGCCTGAGAGTGACCAAAGTCATCTAGTTGCATCCATGTGACGACCTGTTGAGGTGAGTTTTCAATGTACTAAAAATCCCAACCACAAAAAAAAAAAAAAAAAAAAAGACTTCCGCTCTCGCAGCAGATGTCTTAGCTTGTATTTTGATTGTAGCCTTCGCGGAAAGATAAAGTTTGAGATGTCATCTGTCGCTGGGCTTCGCGTCGAACTAATTGCAATATTGTTTCAGTCAGTGAACTAAAAAAACAAGTTGATGTGCCGATGAGACAAATTATTTGCAGTCACAGGTGTCGCTGGGAAGAAACATTTATATCTCTTTCGGCTGCAATGGCGTTTTTCTTCTTAATTTATGCGAGGGTGTGCCCTATACGTACTTTTCTCTATCATTACTCACTGGCATCTATAAGTTAATCGCACCTATGTTAGATAAAAGGTATGTTTACTCTTCTACGGAAAGCAACTATGGATTGTAGTAGTTGATTTGTCACCATACTCATCATAATTGGCCGTGCTGGTTACTCTGAATTTTGCCGAAAAATCCTCGAAAACATCATGTCGTACTGAGTAAACAGCAGAACAGAGAGAAGTGGGCTTTCGTTGAATTTTCGGTTCGGTCACAAATTTGTAGGCATTAAAGGGAAATCATATTTAGATTTTAGGGCACTTAACTGAGACCCGAATCACTGCCGCGAACGGTGATCTAAATCATGGGAGAGATTTACACTACTACCCTGTGAAATAGGACCTGGCTGGGTCAAGGTTTTTTGGTAACCGTTGAGATCTAGAACACCCGATGTAATTATATACGCGTTGGCTTCCGTTCTCGCTTCATATTTGCATGACGGCAAAGGAAAACCTTGAGATGGGTTTCGGCTTGCGAAGCTTTAAGAGCTTTCGGAATCCCCCCCCCCCCCCCCCCCAGAGAAACAAAAAAAGTCATTTGCTAATTGTAAAAAAAAAATTATAAATTACTGAGTCAAAAACTGAACAAAGTAGACGTTCGTGTTTAGACCAGACTTGTACCGTACGCATTACAAGTAATCAAATTACTTGTAATCGATTACTTTTTGGAGTAATTTTGTAATCAGTTGATTACTTTCAGTAGGCAGTAATCACAAGAGTAATCTGATTACTTTTTGAAGTAATAAAATTACTTGTAACCGTTACAATTTGTTCACGAGACCCCCCCCCCCCCCCCCCCGGGGGGGGGGTCTCGTGAACAAATTGTAACGGTTACAAGTAATTTTTTTTTTAACGTTATTTGGGGCGACCCGCTTGTGTATTGCTCTGTCACACAAACAGCAGCGGAGTTCAAAAAATGCTCCAGAGATACTGAACAGCCGCAGAAAGTAGCCGCTAAGCACATCTAGATGGCAACCTTTCATCGAGATCACTGCAATCGGTTCTTTAGAGGATGTTGTACAAGTCCAGTGCCCCCCCCCCCCCCCCTCGTTGTTCTCTACTAGACACAGTAAATCAGCTACGCTTCAATGTAAATGCATTTCAGATTTCTTGGTTCTTAAAATCATTGTTGTCTGTTATATGATACCTTGTCTGAAATACCGGGAAACGCTTGAAATGTTAGAACAGTCCGCGACGGAGCAAAACGATATCGCCTGATCTTCCTCGCGCCTTATCTAAAGCTTAGAAAGTCGCATTTTCACATTGCTACCATGACCAATCGCGCTCGCTCTGCACCAAGCACCCAAATGTCGGCGCCCGCAAGAAACTGGGGGAACGAAGCTCTGCTAGCTTAAACGTAACCTTTTGTTTTGTGGCTCTATTCCCTACCATACGACCTCCTTCCGATTAGACGGTTCTCTCGCACCGCATGCACAGAAACAAAGCGAAGAAAAGAAAGAAAAAGAAACCGCGTTGAATGAGAAAATCAATTTCAGGTTAAACGTGTTTACGACTGTTTGATGTTGACTGACAGGTGGTACAGGTTATATCCGTATACGTTTTCTCGATCTTCGCTGGGTAACCGAAGCTTAGCAGCTGGCTCGTGCGTACACCGTATAGTCTAGCTGGATAAAAGAAGATGCGGCGTTCGTTTTTCCTGACCGTTATGTCGGCACGAATCAGTTTGTGTTCTTTTTCTTTTTCTTTCTTCTGAAGTGACCCCGTTTTCCGAGAGACGTTGGGGATGCGAGCCTCCAACTTCCTTCCTTCCTCGCTTTCCTTTTATAGCAACACCCGGAAGAAAACGCCGACCCGCGAGAAATGCCGTTCGTTGCGGGCGGCAAAAAGCGTACGTAGTTGTATATGCCACTACGCCCGCAGGCTGTCACCTTTTCTTAAACAAACCGCGAAGAAACACAGGAAACTCCACAGCAAATTAAAGTAATCGGTCACCGGGCACGTTCCCACACTTTCCATGTCCGCAACTGCCGCACAGTCGGTTACGTCGTGCGCGTCTTGGGGACAACGCCCTTAATCTTTCCGAGGACGGAAGCAAGAGCCTCGTAAACTTCATTGGGCCACAACAAAGGCTCGCGAGAATTGCTTGTTTCCGTGGGACCGGGAGCCATCCACGTAATTGCTCCTTATTAACTTTTGTCTCGGATGATCATCCTCGATCATGACTGCCGCTGCACACCTCCAATCGACGAATTTATTTTTTGTTTTGTTTCCACTCGAGATCTCCGAGTTGAGAGAGTCTGCAAACAGGAGTAATTGAGAAGCAAAGATCTCGACGACTCAAGATCGGCGGGAAACGATATGTCGCCTATAAGGCGGTGAATTAGAGCGAACCGACGTCTCATGCAGTCAAATATCGTCACTTACCGTGCCTGACTTCAGGAGTGAAGGGAGGTTGGCTTAGAGACACGCGTAAAACTGTGGAAGAGGAGATGGCCACCGCGGTCTGTACACTGACAGTTTAAGAAACACAGGACGTAGCAAGACCAAACACTTTCTTATCACTCCCTAACCAATGAAATGACGGTATCAGTTAATAAGAACTTCGAAGACGAATCACAAAGCAAGATGCGTAATGATAATAGGGCCCCGCCCATCGTTTCTTAAACTATCGGTGACAATTGTTGTGTTCGTGGAAACGTAAGTGACCTGCCGAGGTCCTCTTGGTTAATCTACGATTTCAGAACAGATCACCCTAGCTTCCGTTGACATTCTGCTCCATTATACTTCAACCTACGAAAGGAGGTTCATTGTTTAGAACACCCTCCAGAGCTTAATAAATAAAACAGTCGAAGTTATGCGATTTTTCTTTTTTGTGGGAGCTGCGTGTGCGTTGGTCTTTTTACTTTCCTTTCTTAGCGCAATTTAACTGGAAGACTGGAAGGTAAAACTACTGTGTGATGGTGATTGGTCAGTTCGATTTATTTGTGCCAAAGCCCAGTATTAGCAAACCGGCCTGTTAGTTCAAGTTCGGCCGCTCGATCAGTTCCAAGCATCGTGAACAAAAAAACTGCCGTTATACCGTCAGTTGCGGGAACATCAACTGTTGAAAAAACGTTTCCTTGGAAAATGGACGCCAACTAAGAAACGCTAGACTTGGCGAGGAAGCTTGAGAACTTGCGAGCAGACAAACGAACCGATTCCGACAAATATAATTTTTAGGCGTTCGATGCCGTCGTTTTCTCTGACATGCAAGATATTTACTGCACGCCAGCAATCCGCCGAAGGTTAGAACACATTCAACATGCATCTGCTTCGTCGCATTAGTACTTTAACAACCTTTCAAAGTGTTACTGTCTCGACAAAGAACATCAGGAACAATACAGCCACTACGCGGCGACGTTCTGATAGCAAAGACACAACTGACATTCCCATCCTCTTAAAGAGCTTAATGCAGCGGCTCACGGCCGACTATCAACGTCTTCGCTCCCGGGGCGGCTCCATTTACTCGCCGGAACAATAGCAATGACCTCCCTGCCGCCCATGGCCTAGCGCCGATCGAGGTAGCCGACGTAAACCGCTGACGTCTTGATGAGGTCAGAGTGACGTAGCGCCTGTCCTTGAAGACTCGCCTTGGTCGCCGCTTCTGCACCCCTCCGAGTTTGCTTTTGTAGATGCGTACATGAAAAACCCCTTCGATGCGAAATCTTCGCAACTGGGCCGTTTCCTCAATCTTGAAATCGAATCTAAGTGGGGATCAGTATAGAGTGGACCTAATCGTCGAGCTTGACTGCTTACGTATGTGGATTACGTTGCCGGTCGAAGAAAAGCGTCGCCTAGTAAAACCCTCTGCGTTCTCGGATAAGGGAGAAAGTGTATTGCCTTAAATAGAAACTCGTTATCTGGTCGTGCGTGCAGTCCATGCGGGAAATGGCCAAGTCGTGCAACAATAAAAGGGAAAGCGTAGAGCACATTGTGAGCTGCGATAAAAAATGGGAGCCGGCACCTACAATCTGATTGGTTATGAAGCGATATTGAGATGCCCAGGACTTGTCACGCCCAGCGTTTCGTAAGCTATCAGTGACCATATAGTAAAAGTAAAAGGTTCACTGAAGTGCATTAGAGGTCACTCCAGAAGCTAGACCGCTTGGCGCCATTAGCTGTCAATACAGACAACCCTGTCGCCTTCTTGGCATCACATGGGACATTTTGCCACCTAAGCTGGTGTCCATCACCAGAATCACACGAAGTTTCGAAGTCGTGATTATTTATTGCACCTCAAACTTTAAAAATAAAAAAAAATAAAAATAGTTGAACGCTAGCTTAGTGCTCGGAGCAGGTAGGCATAAAGCCCCTTGATGGTGTTCGTAAATTTATAAGTTGTTTTTTTTTTTTACCTAAGTAGGCAGAGGAGCTTGTAAAGTAAATTTGTAGATCCCATAGGGACTGGCACTGCGGCAATTAATGATTAAATCGAGAATTCGCGGGAAAGTACTGCAAGTTTCTTTGATACATGTGTGCGTATGCGAATACGTTTGTTTGCAGTTTTCTCTGTGTTTCACTAGTTTTGTGAAGCCAGGAGTATAGGGCAGAAGGAAGTAGGGAGTAACGTTGCATATCTGCCGGAAACATTTGGTCTTGTTAATTCGTCTCGGCAAAATCTGCCACTAGCTTGCTTGCTATCAGTTCGTCGTGCTGCTGCCGCCGGCGTAAAACTTTGTGGAAAAAAAAATAAAACGTCTGGTCCGTTACTTAACTCTTGCGCAATGGCCCTATTATGAATCTGCAGGAAGTAGGTAAAAAGGCGGCGGAGGAAAGTGAGGCACTGCGAGCTTTTTCCTGCCGTCTGATGTGGGGCGAATGTTGTCACCGAGAGAGTTTTCGCGCGTGGCCGAGGACTTAGCACTTGCGACAGTCCTTGCGAAAATAGGCTAGCCCCTTCATCGGGGCGTGTTGAGTCTCCAACAGAGCAAAACGGTGCATGCGGAAAGTTTGTTTTTTTCTTGCTTCAGGATTATGTCTTAATACCTGGTTGTTTGTTTTTCGATTAAAGTCTGTTTTCTTTCGCTGAGTAAATTTGCCGGCAGGGGTTTACGATGCACACATTCAACGGACTTTCTTGCTGATATAAAACAGAAGCACCGTGTTGTCGGTCTTTTTGACGCTCCAGTCTCACCAACGAGCAACAAACAAAAAGGCCTTTGTCAAATGATCTAGTTTCTTTATGTTCGCGACAGGAGTGCTATCAAGGTGTTCGCCTATGCGTGGCTTGCATTAACCTTACATCAGCGGCAGTCGTGGTGGCTTTGCTGGCGAGCGCGTAACTTCTGCATCATATATTCCGCACCACCGAATGTGTTTCCCTCGTCAAGCACAAGTCGGAATGACCATAATCTTCAACAGCGACAGACCGGTGGAAACCACGTGTTCGTTGGACCAGTTAACTGTCGGTCTTGCCCCCCCCCCCCCCCCCCCCCGTGATCACACACTCTTCCCATACTCACGTATACAGAGAGCCCAAACAGACGATAAAAGGCAGGCGATTGATTGGTCCGGCGATGATGTAGCTTCCACCGCCCTGCCATCGTAGTTCGAGAGTTTTCCATTTAAATCAAGTACACATGTCTCCATCAAGCCTTTATGGTAATATTGACTAATGTTAAAAGCATGCGTTTACTTTGCACCTTACCCGCCAGCGCTCAATGCACCTACCTTACATCGTTAAAATGAGTTGTCTTAATAATTTAGATTGAATTCACACACAAAAAAAAAAAAATAACGCCTAAGGGTTTTTTTACTTTTGTTTATTGCAGTCCTGGATCTCGACCTGAAATCACCAAGTTGGGTGACGAGATTCTTCGGGACAACGGGGACTTTCGTCGTCGAAGAGCCATTCGGAGACTGAGGGCCATCGGACATGACTTCTCGTCCGTGAGAAGACCGCAAGAGTGGAGATGGGCCTGCTTTGCATCGAGTTGCTCAAGTTGACCCACGACCGGTCCGATGTGTTGGAGACGTCGAAGCGCTTGCGATCTTCGCGTGCTCCGCGATGGCGGGCGAACACACCAGAAGTACTACTGGAGAACAGAAGCTGGAGAAAACGCAGCCCTTCCACACGCATCAACGCGGCGATTGAAACGAGTGCCGTGCCAATCCTACTGTCAACTGTTTCATGTTGCAAACAAGACAAAAAAAAAAAAAGAAGTTTGCAAACGTGAGGGACATGATACTGTCACCGGTACGGGACTTCCATTGACTTCATATCATCGGTCATTGTAAAGGAGCTTGCTGTTGCGCGTGTAATTTCTGGAGCATACAGTTTGCACTATTGAATGTTCTTTTTTCGGCAAGGACAAGTATGAGTGACCACCAGTATAATGTGTTGAGGTCATGTGCAAGCGTTGAATACGAAGGATGTTTCCGTCTGGGACTCTCGTATACAAGGTAACGGTCGGTGTATGGTATCCGGTAGAGTTGGTAGGTTGTATGTACCCTATGGACCTTTCCGGAGATATGTGGTGCCCCAGCGTACGTCTAATTTACGCATTGTGGCGTTCAGATGTATGGCACGTGAAATTACTCAAGAAGCGGAGGCCAAGTTGACGTGAGTTTAATAGTTCGTGATTTCAGAACGCAGAAAAGGCAGAAGAAAAGCCAAGCGAAGTATGTAATAACCTTCTTTTCCGTTCGCTATTTCTTTTTTGTGTGTTCTGGTTTTTCAACGGGAAGAAAAAATCAGACTTGTGCCTATCTCAAATACTCTACTCAAGATACTGTATTTCAAATACTTTTTGAAGTATCTTGGAATCTTGCAAATGCAAATACGATGAAGAGAATTTGAGTGTATTTTAATTACATTTCTGAGTATCTTGTGCTCATTATCTCAAATACATTTTTGACATTCCGCCATTTTCCGAGTTTTTCGGTATGAAGTGGCGTGAGCGTGGTACGAACAAAGGTGAACATTCTTTCGAGCAACCTAGAGCAACCAAACCATGTTGCTAGCTCATGCTACGGTGACTTAGACAGAGTTCGCGAAAACATCGCTTTTGTGCCGATTATGACTCATATTCCAACCCAAAGTTCGTGCAATGAAGGTTTTCCCTTCGCCTTCCCAAGGCGCCTTTTGTTTCCTAGAGTTTACTCCAAAAATCATCAAGCAAAATGTTGATTTTACGGGAGTAAAGACTGCCACACAAAGGCGGAACGCAGAACGGGAAATGGCCCAGGACCACAATCCAGACTTCAGTGTAAAACAAAATCGAAGAAAATAAAAAATAAACACAGAAAGGAGACACACTCTCTTTTTTTGTTGTTGCTTGTATATTTAATCTTGCTACGGCAAAATGTCGAGTATTTTTTTTTTTCTGTCGTCAGTCCGGCACTTATTGCTCCCACAAACACTGTCTGTAAGCGAACTTTGATAAGCAGAGAAGAGGACAGCAAATGAACCACGAGCAGGACGATTTGTCGAAATGCCAACAAAGCATCCCCCAACATTGTGTACCTTTCTGAATGCAACCTGCCTGAAGAAGGGTGCGACCAGTGCCGTGGCCATAATGTGGGCTCTTTGTTATCCATTCAATCATATCCGTATTCCAAGTTCGTTTATAGTTAACTTTTCAAATAGGAAATATGAATTGTAGTTAAACGATGCGTCTTAGGTGCGCGCCGCAGGACGTGATATTCAACGATGTCACTATAACTGAAGCGACCTCTTTTTTTTTTCTTGTTCCAGAAACGTTTTGTAACACGTATCAGTGAGATCCTGCTCCTTATAGTTGGTCTTCATAGAATAACTTTACGATGTTTTTCTGTTCTTTTTTTCTGTTTTGTGCTTTTGCGTGGAAATGAACCATTCTGATAAACCAGATTTCCGCAACTGTATAATTGTGCTTGTCACTGACGTCGATACAAATTACGCAATCCGGGAGTATCTTGAATTACATTTCTAGGTATTTGTACTCCACTCAAAGTACTTTACAGTGAAGGTAACTTGAGTAGTATTTTAAATAATTTATGAAGCAGATATTTAGTAACTTAACTTAAATATTTTAACCGAGTATTTTGTCCAACACTGGAAAAAATGAATCGTGCCGCTACCAGGATATACGAAGCGTTCAAGCCGGCACCGACGGTGCCTCCGAACGGCCCTACAATTACTGTTGTAAGCTTGTGACGTTGACTGAAGTGGTCTGCTATTCGTCGGTGTTCATCTCCTGTGTAGGGATCATTCGTGGTCGCTAGAGAGACCCTTTTCAAAACCTCCATGAAGTAACAATATTTGCCGTCATTTCTTGAGCACGAAGAGTATGATTGGAGCCGAGTCCTCTCCGGGGGAGGGGGGGAAGCTGAAGCGGACACTCGTTCTCGATACGAGCGAAGCCGAGCTCACGCAGAGTGCTGACGAGGCTATCGGCGGAGAGCGCGTGCCTGCGGAATGGCATAATTGACGCAGCAGCTACTAGACGGCGTGCAGCTTTGAAAATGGTATTTTCTATATGCCCAACTGCTTGTGCTTGTTGAGAAGCTTTTATGGGGTTTCGGTATCACCAACCGGCCATCAAACGTATCCGTCGACAGGCGGGGCGGGGCCCCTGAAACCTTGCGTCGGGTTGTCAAAATGTTTCACTCAAATTCGCATACCTGGTACCGACGCCTAGTTTCATATTTGTCCAGAATTAATCATTAAAACATGTAGTCACGAAGGTGTGTGTCCGATGGTCCTTAGTGTATCATAATTAACTGCTGGGCTAGTTGGTGAGGTATTATGGAGGACAAGAGGCGCGAAAGACACGGACAAGTAGAACAGGACAGGACAAAGCGCATTGTCCTGTCCTGTTCTGTTCTTCGATACGTGTCTGTGTCTTTTGCGCTCTTGTCCTCCATAAGGTTATTTGTGTGCTTGTTAAGATGTTATTGTCGTCGTCACACAACGTGGCGACGTCACAGCGTCGTCACGTTGTGATGCCAACGCATCATGTTTTACGAACTTCCCAAGACCTGCCCAACCAAGGACGCCGACTTACAGAAGCGATTTAACTAAAGTTTCCAACGCTAGTAACTGGGGCAAGCGCTTTAACATGGCATGCCATAACACTGTACACCTGTAATACGGCACCGCCAGGTAACGCCCTGTCCGGTCTCAATCTTATTCGTCCGTATGTTTATTCGGTGGTGGTCTTAAAATATGTGATAGCTGACCCATATTAACGCTTTGCTGTACATCAATTTGGAAGCCCAGTCTATAGCAGGGCATCTCACGCTGCGCGCATGCTCGCGCAAAGCTAGCGTTTATATTAAATTAAAAGCGACAACTCGTGCTTACAGCACATATCCGTTATTTACCACAATTACATCCACGCACGGCTATGGTCAAAACAAGTCAGAGGTGCACTACGGAAAAACATAGACACTGCTGGAGAATGACAGTACTTCCGCTACCACATTGATGGCTCTCCTTCGGTTCGTATGACGTCATCCTCGTTCCTTCAGACGCAATGGCCCCGCTCAGTTTTCAGCCGGTGCTTCCAAGTTCTGTCCAACATCGGCAACTGCTTCTGCCGATACAACTACGTCAACAGGTAGTACGGCGGCAGCATCATCGCCTTCGGGCGCATCCACAACCGCCACTGTCGGTGGAGCCGGCTCCTCGGCCTTCAGGGCCTTCTTCTCCACAAAGTAGATGACCGCGCACAGTATCACCACCTCGGCGCAGATGGCCAAAAAGGGCACGAGTGCCGCATATTTTCCCTTGACTTTAAGCTTGTACTCAAATGTTTCCACGTCTGGGGGATTCGGAGTACCCATGCCGGCTCCGGTGGCGTTGCAGGTGTACGTGCCTTCGTCTTCCACCTTAATCGGTTTGAAGTGTAGCATCGCGTTGGGGATCTTGTTGTGTTCCTCCGCGGTCACGTGGGAAGGAATCGTCCAGGCCGCGCCATCTTTGGTCCACGCCAGTGTGGGCGCCGGAACGCCGGTGACCTTCAGGGCAATCCAGACCTCTTTGCCCTCTACCAGTGCGGAGGAAGCGGTCGTGTGCGTTTCGTCCGTGGTCACAGTCACTTTGTAGAAGACTTCGATGGTTTTGGTGTCGGTCCCGTCGTTGCAGGAATAGGATGCCGCGTCTTCTTCGGTCGGTTTAGAGATGGTCAGCATTGACGTCCCGTTCTCAACGACAGAGAGCTTGGCGTCGTCCGAGGGTATGTCTGTGGTGCCTTTCATCCAGGTAATCTTCTTGGTCTTGTCGAGAGGATCGCAGCTGATCACCAGTGGTTCCCCGGGTTTCGCGAGTGCTTTGCCCGACGCAGGGTTAGGGTTGAGCGTGAAGACCCTCACCAGTAGCTCCGTGGACGCTTCAACATGCATCGGATCGCTGCAGTGTGCGTGTGTAGCCCGGCATGTGTACCTATCACAGAAAAGCACAGCCTCGCATGAAACAGTTGTTTTCCAGACATTAGCGACAGAGTGCTAAATTTGACGTTACTGAGACTGTCGAACATCCTATAGACGTTTTCTACAAGGTCGCCGCCATCTTGAATGTCGTCACTTCCAGCATGGGCGCAAACATTGCTTGGCCGTCGCCACGCCAAAATAAGGCATTAAGGATATAAGCGTAACCGTCGTCCATTCTCGTTTTGCCTCACCTTTATTTTTCTATTATTTGAAGGTTGAAATGTTTTATACTATCTTGGTCGCCCGTGCTGGATATGTCTAGCAGGTGGCTGGAACCTTAACAAAAAAGAGCGTGTTGCCGGTGCCATCTTGAGCGTTCGTGCGTATGGCGCGTGCTTTCCTCGCTTTCGAAGCACGAACATTCACATGCTGGACTGTGAAGATCGCACGCTAGACTGTGATTCTTTGTAAACATTGGAAAGGTCTATAGACCATTCCGAGAAAGAGCATGCTTTGCCCGCTCTGTTCAGGGCCCGGCCTCCAGCACGAATTCACTGCCGTCCGCCGTGCTTTGACTGCGCGTACTCGCTCGAAGCTCACGAGACGCCGAAGTGTTATATAAGGTACGAAGCTCGAGATGAAACCGGAACTGAGAGATCTTCCTGACGTTCTCATCTTCCTTAGCTGTGGTCGCTCAAGCACATACGCGAAACACCTGGAAATAATAACGACCGGGGATCGACTTGAAGGAGGGAAAAAATAAACCAAATTTTCTTCAGTACCAAAAACAGCATGGGCGAGAACGAGGGGGTTTAGAAATTGCTTTCCATGCACGAATACAGGTTAAGAGTTCATAAGAAGCATCCCCCACTTTTCACTTCAGCAGGGTGAACACTGAAAACGAGGCGACCTCCTCTAGCCTTCACCTTTGAAAGATCGGTGAATCAGCTTGTGACCGCGGCACTGCACGAGCCCATCAGCATGTTTTGGTTGAACGATCTTTCAAATAGTTTTGAAGGCCTTTAACGTCCGTAATACAGCTACTCACTTTGCTAAACGGAAGCTTGTTCCACAAAAACTGGACAACATTGAAAACGCCACTCAATAGCTTCATTGTTCTTAGTCATTAGGGAGCTTTACTAAATCGTTCCAATATCTCCGATAACAACATCCGATACTCCGCCGACGTTTTTTTGTAAACGTCGTAACATTAAAGGGCGTTTTCACGTGATGTTAATCCGCCATTTGTTGTTACATGTTCCGTAATGAAACCTATACGCCTCGCAAGTGGGCTCATTTTCGTCTTCTGCGCATGAGAAAGGAAGTAGCGGTGACGTCAGAACGCCGAGCCCTGATTGGCTGATCGCGACCCCCTATCTCAGCGTCGTCTGCTCCTTTGCAACGTCGTCTGCTCGTAACGTCGTCTGTGTCAGTCTTACCTTTCCTGCGACTTCCGGAAGTGCAGGTCTGTACGAGCGAGCTCGACTTCGCCTTTCAGAGAAGGCAGACGAAATAACCCGAGCGGTACGTTGTTTTTGTCTAACAACTAGCAGACGCGCATCAAGGAGGGAAGTCAAAGGACTCACTGGCGAGGTGTCCCGAGGCGCCGAGGTTTGTTTGCGAAGAACCGGGAGGTGAGCGTGTTAGTGTCCGTAAGTTCCCTCCCAAATACTTTTCCCCTCCTTTCGTGTGCGGCGAGACCCCTCATTCTTTAACGGCGTCGGCGGTTTGGCGTCGTCTGCTTTACGTCAAAGCGATGGCTGCTTTACCTTTCCTGCATCTGTCAGAGATTCACCGCTTTTTCACCGGCAAGATTTACCGTTGCCTCGGGAAACAAGGAGATAACAAGAGGAAGAAATTGACCTCTTAATCTAAAATTGAGGTCAGCGATCAAAGTATAATACGGGAAGGGTTCACAAGGGTCGCGCGGGCATATTCCATTCAGCACGCCAGCCGGTTGTGGGCAGACGGTCGCCGAGTCGCGGAGTGCCTGCTAGGCCTAGCTGCCCAGCTCGCTTGGTCGCGTTCGGTGGAATCGTGGCAGTTGGAGCTTTTCCCGGGTGTTTGTAGATCCAACGTTCTTGCTCGTCGTGGTCTGTTTCAAGTACTTTCTACTTTTTTCTTGCTGCTTGAAGTCGGGACGCATGAGAAGCGCACGTAGAAAAATAAACGTCCGTGGGTCGTCGCGACCGCGACGCTGTCGGCCATGCTGATTTGATCGGTAAGAAGTGCGTAAGACAGCTTCGGAGCTGTCGTAGGATTTCGTCGCAACTTGCGCAAAACTTACGAAAATTTCGTTTCGTGAATACGAATTTGTTCTTAATTTTTGTCTTACGCACATTTTTGGCGTAAGATCGTTTCGTGAATCTGGCCTCTGCGCTTCCGAAAGTCGCGGGAAAGGTAAGACAGACGCAGACGACGTTGCGAGCAGACGACGTTGCAAAGGAGCAGACGACGCTCAGATAGGGGGTCGCGATCAGCCAATCAGGGCTCGGCGTTCTGACGTCACCGCTACCCCCTGCGCTAGAAGCAGACGAACTTGCCCTCCGCATAGACCCCAGTGCACCACGCATTTGATGATGTCAAATGAATCCTTCAACTGTTCGCCTTTGGTACGCACAACGCTGCTCCTAACAACTAAAGGGTGGACATAATAACATCAATGAAAACACCTTATATGGTATCGTCATCGGAGGTGTCAGGAGGACCTACTAAAACTCCTTACGGGCCGATCAATACCTTCCCTTATCCCGAACCGACACGTCCCGAATGATGAGCATGGCGTCGGGAATGCCATCCTTGCCCGGCACCAGAGACAGCTTGTCCGACGGTACCAGAGACGCGTCACCGCGGTACCAGGTGACCTTGGGCTGTGGCCGCGTGATAACCTTGCACTCGAGGTCAACCGTGGCGTGCATCCTCGCCTCTCTGTACTCCGGCAAGGGCTCGATGACGATCGGAGCCGCCACGTTCACGCTGAAGCCGGCTCCACGTCCTCCAAGGCAGGAGTAGGTGCCGGCGTCACCAGTTTCCGCACCCGTGATGATCAGTCTTCCCGGTTCGATGAGGTAGCGTTCCCGCGGCCGCGCCAGAAGCTCTTCGTCCTTGTACCAGCTGACGGGGCGACCGGCTTCGGACAGCTCGCAAGATAACGCGAGCGATTTGTTGGGCACCTGCAAAGATGTTGGCGGTACGTGAAGCTCTTCATGACGAAACGGCGTGATTTTACGTCTGCCTAGTCGAGGTAGCATGCATGGCTTGTACTGACGTCACGTCAGATGCCACTGGGGTGGTCTTGCTCAGAGTGTCGAACCGATATTTTTATCGGTTCGGTTCGGGTTCGGGTTCACAGCTTTCGGTTCAGTTCCGGTTCAGTTCCGGGGCGCAAAAACTAACGGTTCAAACCGGTTCGAACCGGTTCGAACCGGTTTGAACCGCTAAATTGAGAATATATTTTCCGCGTTGTTCTGTCAATAGGCACTATTTAGGCCGTGAAACTAACTGCTGTAAACGATCTGATTTTTGTGAGGACCTATTCTTGAGAATTTCGCGAATCGCCTACAATTCGCGAAAAATGGGTCCCGCGAACAATTTCGGTAAAATGTAAACACATTGAAATTTATATTGAGATTCCTCCGCGGTCGAGAAAATTGCAACCCGCGAATTATTCCAAAACTTCAGCTTTGACCTAAATCGCGAAATATTGAGCCCACGAAAAACAAGTCGTTTACAGTATATAGTTTTTTTTTTTTTTATCGTTTGTTCAATCCAGTTTTATTTTCAGGTACCCAAATTATGAAATTATGTTATTTATTTCTACACAACAAAAAAAGAAAATCTACATTAACATACAAAACGTCGAGTTTATACTACTCAACATCCCTTCGTTTACCAGAGTCACATACATTGTACCTGAAACGAAATGTTTTCGCGAAGTAAAGTAGGTTGCCTAAAATACCCGTGATTGGTACAACTTTGTATCGCAGTATCAGATGTTGAATCATGGTTTTGCCCTTGAACTAAGGAACTAATTACAGTGAATAAAATTATGAAATGGGCGCCTCGTCGCCATATATACCATAAAATGTGTTTTACGGAATACGTTTCACAATATATATATGATGACGAGACGACTGATCTTAAGGCAATATAATGTTCAAAATGTCACGAAAGTCAAGGGGGAAGTTCTTCCAGTCTATTTTTATAGAAACACTAAGCGACAATCGCAATTATGCTTGTTTTTCTAACTAGCATTGTTTGCTCTCAGCACCATGATGTGTACGACGAATCATGCGAAAAGGATTTGACTTTATGAAGTTCACATAACCGCCTGAGACCGACACGGAAGGACGATACTCGAAAATACGCCTGCTGTTGAGTCTTCGGCAACGTGCTTTTCTTAGCTGTTTTGCAGTGTAAAATACTGGGTTGCAGGGTATGCCAAAAAACACTGTGGTCACATGATATATCGGAGGGCAAATACACGAAATGGGCAGAAATAAGGAGATGGCAGGCAATTTTTTCTAAATAATCCCTTACACAACGCTTTACTGCAAAAAGAGATGCATAGAAATGCAGAAAATGATATTCCTAATTAAACATAGATTCCGCGCAGGGCAAACGAAGATTTTTAGAATCCTAATATAAATCCCTTTTGGGCATCAGCTTGCCTCAGCTCGAAACGTCGCGAGATACTACCTCGGGAGGCTAAAGTTACCGACTCTGTTCTTTATCAGTCATGTGCTCCAACATCTCATTAGGCTGTTGTATATCGTCGCGAGACTGCTATAAATACTACACAACTTTACACCTTGGACGTCTAGTGCTGGTGTTGCGAACGTCACACTTCACCAGAAAGCTGAAGTATTTAACATGGTTTGCACGTGACGTAATCGCACTAGATAGTGGTTGTCATTGCGAGTTGTCCTTGCTGAGAATATCAAATCCGGTGGGGCAAAATGCACGCTGCAAAA